TAAAAAGGACGATTTTGGGATAATCCCGGTCACCGTTTTACCTTGCATGGGTTTAGAGGAAACGATATTNGTATTTATTTCAAAAAAGTATTTTGAAAATACATATTTTGCATTTAAAATACAAAATCTATTTTGTATTTTACATTTGAAATATCAAATCAAAAAGTATTTGCATTTTGTATTTAAATACTTTTGAAAACCATTTTGCACATCTCTAACTATCGTATGATGTACCAGTACGGTAATAAACGCCAGGCGACTCCGCCTTTTTATAAACGCTAATGAAGTAAAAAATTATATATTATAAACGTATTTATATTAGGGGTAGATCCAGGGGGTGATCCTCCCCTTCTTAAAACGACTCCGGATCAGTGTTCTAGAACTTAAGCAATTTAAATTTCGTAACCCTATAATCGTAGTGTTTTAAACCCATTAACCCTTTAATCTAAACCACAAATACTCCCACGAGTCCATAGCTCGGAGGCAACTACCCAACGTGCTAAAGTAATTTATGACGCCGTGGTAATTTATTCATAAATATGCTTTTTTTAATAGTTTTATACCCTTATTTCACCATCGTCCCCCTCCCCCACAGAATATTTCTTGACCGGCCCTGACTTAAAGTTAAAATAATATATTGCTTGTAACTTTTTACTCTCGTTTAATAGCAAACAAAATAGCGTGTAACATTCATACGTGTTTTCGCGAAAGCGGTTAAAAAATGGAATTACGTTCAGATTTCAGGTCTTTTCTTTAATTTATAAGTTTCATGTAAGGTAATTGACTTCATTTTTGTGACAATATGCAATTACAATCGCGTTACGTACATAGCACTGCCTTGTACATAGAAAGAACGTTCTCAATTTGTTATTTTCTATCTAGGAAGTAATCTTTCCTTGACCAATGATAATGGTCGCAACGAACATAATTTAAAATACGAAACGTTGCAAAAACACATCGACTTGGAAGGACGTATTTCACAAAAGCCTGCTTACACTGCCTACTACTTGCTTTCAACCGTGTCATTTGCGCATTTTCTTCCCCACAATAGAAAATAACTGATAAAGTAAGTAAACAAATTCTTCGCATAGTTGTTTGTTTTGATTTTAATAAAAAAGACGGAGAAATCAGGTTAGTGCAAAGACCGTTTAATTAACCGTTTGCCCCTTTTTTCGTTACTTTCGAATTGTTATTATGCTATATAATCAAGCCTTAAACTTAACCGATTGACTTTGTCCCACTTAAACATTCTTTGATGTTGTAAACAACATGCTTTCCTCTGATTATTTATTTATTTATTCGTNTTGATTCAAATTTTACCACACGTATTAATAATATCGATGAAAAATTGATAGACCCACAATTATGCACAATTTATTCTTAAAGTTTAAATCAGAAGATTATTTATATCAGATGCCAGTTTATATCTAAATGTTTAATTAATCTATGGTTCATATTCCTTATCAATGGTTCATATGCTATTCATATCTCTATGGTTATTCATATAATGTGCGCATAATCATGGTATAGTCCTATGCAGTCCTATGGCTCTATGGCTGTTCTTATCTATGAGCTATTCATCATGGTGTGTAGAAAATCCACGTGTGTTACACTACAAATTACTTCCATTTCAACTAAAACAATAACTTTTATTAAATGAACGATAAAAACTTAATAGTGGCAGCTCATAGGTCATATATAATAAAAGAATAATAAAAGTGAACAAAAAACATTAAACTTAACCTGCAAGAAATGTGAAATGTCTGTTATATCAAGTTCAACGAGATTGTCAGTCTCTTCCAGGAAAAGCACGAGTATTAGAAGTGTTTTAAATAGTACCAAACCAACAAAAGTGAGATTTCAACTTCACCATACTAAAAATGTGCGAAAAATCATTATTGATTACGTGAGGAAAAAGGAAGTAAAGGACTATGAAAACTTATTGTGTCTTATTCGCGACTCGGAATTACTTGATGAAGACATTAGGCTACTTTTAAATGAAGCAACACAGTGTATTTCATTACTAGATCAAGACCTATCTTTATTTATAGAGGCAATCTTAACAGTTGATTGGTTAAGTTATCGTGAAGATGTGATAGCAGAATATCAGTCTTTTCTTATAAATCTACTTTCTGCTCATAATTACCATGCTAAATTAGTGATAGATCGTTTAGTAAAAAAATTTTATCCAGGTGAGATTTAAAGTACAATCTGTTCAACATTAGCTTCATTAAACTTATTGTATGCAAGATGAAATACCGTAATATCTAAATCTAAATCCATATCGAGCCCGCAAGACAATCAATACTGTTTTTTATTTTAGTTAGGATCACAAAATGGATAGAGTCATTGGGAAGATAAGAAAAGGTTGCATTTAAAACAATAAGTACCTTTTAGTGACTCGTTCCATGATATAGGCAGAAGTATATACATAGGTAAGTTTTAATTACTTAATAATTACTGTATTAGTTATTGTAATGATCAACCGAAATTCATAAAGTACAACCACAACGAAGGACTTTACGACCTCGCTACGTTCTCTAAGGATGTCTGGTGGTTTCGATAAATTACTGAACAAGAAATAAATGTCCTTCGTTTCTTTAAATTTTTATAAAAAGGACGATTTTGGGATAATCCCGGTCACCGTTTTACCTTGCATGGGTTTAGAGGAAACGATATTTATTGTAGTATCACCTATTACCAATATTCAAAAACTAACCAGAACTCCCTGCTTTTTACAACAAACTATTCCTCACACAACCATATGCAAAAATATTTGCGTACGTCAACTGTTTTATTGTTATTAATACAACAATATTCATTTGTTTTCTTTTTGTCCAAATGATATAAAAACATCAATGGACTCCCGGTAATAATTTGACCTTCGTTCATTTCGCATTTAAAAATAAAAACGTATGTGTTTTTTTCTACCGAACTTTTGTGTTTAAATCTAAGTACGTCGAGTTTTTATGAAAGACGAAATTCGTAGGCGCAAATTTGTCTGTTTCTAGTCTAGGCTCACTTTGTTAATGAGATTCGAGGTCATACATACCTACACACATGTAGTGTACACAACAAGTTTAAATCTAAATTTAAAAAAAATCACAAAATCCGTTGCGTAATATGGTGCCGGTGGAAATAAAAATAGTTTTTTGCAAATCGGGCAAAACCAAAGTATTTTTGAAAAAAGGTGCACCAACAGTAAATTATAATAGGATTAAGTTTATTGAAATAATTCATTAAGTGGGTGTAGAAGGCATTTTTTTTCATGGTACCGGAATGAAATTTACAAAGAAGCAAATAAATCACAAAAGTGTAGTCATAAGTGGTTTGATACAGTGGTGGCCCATACTTACGTTCATTTTGCACTCAGTTCTGCTTTAGAACATATTTTTCAACTGCAAGTGCACGAAGATTGTAAACCACTGATCTAACCGCCTAATTTCCATTCTTGCTCATAAACAATTGCTCTTTAAAGCACATCGAACATTAACCGCATCGTTTTTATGTGACAGTAATTATCATTGCCACTTCTATAAATACAGAATTCAACAATCATGGATTATAGATATACCTAATCAATATATGCCCCTTCACAATATAAACTAAACGTTAGTTATTCTAATGACAAATAACAGCTAAAACATTATCAAACCCTTTTGAAATTAGTACTGCTTTCAAAACCGCCTAGGCGGAATTGACGTACCGAATTATTCGTATTGACTACGACATAAATATGTCCATGTGGAAAGTATTGTATTCAGCAGCATATTTACAGCAAAATTGAAGTGGCGACAAATATTTGTTCATTTAGTTCACTATAACGTAAAAAAATAATGATAAATACAAAATTTGTCTGAACGCGTTCTAAATCGAACTGCTTCTTGTCTGAACGCATCGCCTTTTTACCCTATATTGTCGAATTGAGTAAAAAGGATTCCTAAAGACTGTAGATATGACTCCTAAGGCATAACTCTCCAATTAAACCAAAGAATTAACGAAAAAGGTATCGACGTTTATAGAATACATGTATTCGGTGTTGACACGCCACCACTGGTTATATGTTAAACAAAAACCGGTAATTGTCCAGAATTGTGACTCCAGACCAAAATCGGTCCAAAAATATTTTAACCGGTTTTTGGTCATTCTACATAATAGAATTAGATAGAAGATAGGGGAGACGGTTTTTTATGACTTATAAATAAATAAAAAAATTTTTGAATGATAATTTTTCAAAATTGCCCCAATTCTCGATAATTACCTGAATTGGTGACGTCATTGCTTTTGTTAGGTAGATTTATGACAGATTGAGTTTATTTAATACCCCTGGCTGCCAGATGTGGACCGTTATGTTCAAAAGAATTTTTTATTTTTATTTATGAAGTCTCCCCTACCTGGAGCGATTTTGGTCTGGAGCCCCAATTCTGTACAATTACCCAAAAAACAAGACCGTATAATATTTTCTGTTGAAATTTTCGCGATTATTTAATATAATGATTTGAAACGGTAAAAAAATGGTTTATATGACAAATTAAAATTCTGGTATGCAAGGGAAGAAAAAGTAGGGAAAGAGCGAATATAAACAGAGGAGACGAAAAATTAGAAGTCAGGTCGAAAGGAGTAGTAGGGATATAAAGCAGAGGATAGCGCACGGTCGTGTCGCCTTTAATAAAAAGAAGTCACTTCTATGCTCGCGAAAGGTTAATTTAGAAATTCGAAAAAGGTCGTTAAAGGTATATGTTTGGAGCACGGCTTTGTACGGGTGCGAAACATGAACAGTGGGCGCGGCGAAAAAGAAAAGGGGAGAAGCGTACGAAATGTGGTGTTAAGGATGTGGGTTGTTCTAGTTTTAGGGAAGTGCGAAGTTTAGCTCAGGATAGGAAAGAGTGGAGGTACGTGTCCAACCAGTCTTAAGGCTGACAACCTTATGATGATAATGACAAATTATCAATGACTTCTAAAGAACCATTTCTCTGAAAAGCCAACATTTACATACATACCTTACACAAAACATCCGCCATTATCATACGTCCTTCAGCATCGGTATTTGTAACTCTTACAAGGGCTCCAGATCTGGATTGAATTAATTCATCTGATACATAAGCATCAGAGCCGACGCTGTTGCGTACAACGGCCAGGGCCCCAACCACTCTTATGTTTTCAGGTTTCAAACTCTGAACAACTTGAAAAAATCCGACAACGGCAGCAGCTCCACATTTGTCGTAGGACATACCAGCCATTGCGCCTTAAAAAGTAAAAAAAAAATGCAGTGGAAGGTGAAAGTGACGCTTAATAAGTAATTTTTAACATGTCTTATTTTTTGCAAAACTTATTCCGTAGATTTCAATGATATTATCAAATAGACGTTTGTATACATACACCAAAACAATTTTCTCAAAATTTTCTCGAATATTATGAACAATTAAGTAACAATATCTTCAAAAGTATTGATTAAAATTGTGAGGAGATCTCGTTGTATCTTCAAGGGACCTTTACTATATTTCTGGCCGTAAGTATATGTTATTTTGCCGCCACTTATGAATATAGAGTAATAATACCTACATGGGTTTTCAAGAATAAAATACTTTTAGAAAGAATAATTTAGAAAAAGCCCTTTTGAGAAACCTCATGAATTTTATTTTTAAAGTGATCTAGTTTATGGTTATACATTAAAGTATATGAAATTTCAGATTAGCATAGTTCTTGTTTCAAGTTTTAGAGATATACGGAGTTATTCTGGTTATTTGGTTCATCCAAACCAAAGCGAATACAACATCTTGGGTGACCTATTCCGTTACCTTAAAATTGTCTAACGTGAAATTTTCTATTCCTTTCCAATCTTTTGTTAGATTTCGCCAGGAATACACAGCAACAAAATTATTTCTTATGAATAAGTACTGTTATCAGAGTATTAGTATATATCAGCTTAATGTGGTGTCAAAGTATGGGGTTGGAGTCAACTTGAAAGTTTGAGTAAGGTGAAGCAAGATATTACAAAATAGCGTTAAGGGTGGATAGAAATAGACCAAGATATTTATGGAGAAAGGAGCTAGACGTAATTAGTATTCAATTTATGACTTCATAATTTGAATTTACAACTGGAGAAAGCGGAAGAAAGAAAAAAAGGATCTGTTAGATATGAAAATATTAGGTGGCCAAATATACATTTAGTAAAGGAAAAGAGAAGAATTACTTGAATGTAATTGTCTATTTAAGAAACTTGAACATAATGAACGAGATTGCCAAGAATGTGAGATTCTTGTCNCCATAAGCATTTTATGCTTTGCGAACTTTTTATAAACAAAAAAGAAAAATAAGTTATCAAAATTAAATATTAATGCAAATCTACTTTCACTCCAGGCTATAGCTATTCATTTCCAAGGGTACAAAAGTGTAACTGAGTTTTATTTAAATATTCAATATGTTTTTTGGTAAATACACCCACGCTAGTTGTAATTGTGTAAAGTAGTTTATTTTATAAATTTTATTCAGCCGCTGATTTTATTATTCAAAGCCCGGACTGCCTTAATTTGTGACAGTTACAGCAAATCGTTTTGAGATTATATTATCTGTGTTTGATCATAGAGGGATAATTATTCGACCAAACGATCTTACCATTTTGGGGCGCTGAACTTCTCCAAAATCCAAGCTTAGAATTATCATAGCTTACAATATAAGTTATTCGTTTTCCATTTTCGTTCCACTCCAGTTTGAGTCGTTTCATGTGCCTAACTCTATTACCATTTATTAGGTCATATCGGCGATTGCCAGGGGCATATTGGGGTTGTTTCCAATTTTTATAAAGGCGACCTTAAATATAAGTCTAATGTGTTGACATACATCTAAATATTATTTATTTCATTCATCTAGTTAAGCGGAAGGACAAAACGGATTCTTTTAATTTAAGGATTTTAGAAATTTAGTTTTCCTTCTACCACGAAAATAGAACGTCCTCTTTAATTTCTAAACTCACTAGACCAGCGGTCGGGGAACCGGAGTAAATTACCCCAAATGGGGTAAAAATGAAATTTTTGTGGGTAAAAATGAAACTTTTGTGAGTAAAAAGTATATATTTTTAATTTGCTATTTTATAAACCTATTAGTATTTTTTTCAACTTAAATAATTTAGCGACTAGCGACATATGCAGGCCACGCCATCTCACTCCCCACCACTAAGTGTTCTCGAGTTATATCTTTGCGCAGTAAAGCTCAGTCCGTGCCATGCCGTCAAAATAAATTAAATTTTTACTTATTGTTTTCTTCTCAAAATTAACATGGGGGCTATAATATGAAAGATGCTAAAAAGAGGCGATTTCGTTTTTTTTTGCTCTTCGCCATGGGGTAATATCAACTTACACAAAAATATTTTGGGGTAATGATTAAAAAAGTTCCCCGATCGCTGTCTTAGCCCCTTGCTACAATGCAAACACTGTAGAAATGCTACGTGTTATGTTATGACAACTTACCAAGTGGAGTTTCTGAGAATGAAGGGGTAAATAAAGCTCTTATCAAAACATGAAGTACATGAAAAACTACGCACTAAATTAAAACTCGTTTATGAATTGTTATAAAAGTAATAGTATAATGCATGCCTACTTTTTTTAATTTTTCCCGCCGATGTACAATTGTCATGACTCACCCAAACGTAAAATGATTTAATCACTGAAAGGGTTGCTGGAAGAAAACCACTTTCGCTGATTCCATGCTCCCAAAGTTAACTGCTTATTTACGTTATACATTAACACTGCTAAACAGTATCTACCTATACGCTAAGTTTTTTAAAAATGATACTTATTTACAAAATTTTTGAAACATTGTTTTATAGTTGTAAATACAAAGATAATAAAAAAAAAACTTCATCAAGTGACGTTGAAGCAGGAACAGTCGAATTATTATATAAACAAGACATGGTTCTTATAATTTAGAGCGTCAATAAATACAATAAAAAATTAATTGGGCAAAGTGGACCATACGTGATTCAGTGTCAGTTAATAATTCGAAGTTAGAACACGAAATGTTGGTGTCAGTTGCATCAGCTATCTAGCTACAAAAATTCAGTGTTATTATAAGATCAGAATGTTTTTACATATATGCTGACGTAGGGTAAAAAATGTGATGCGTGTAAAAACGAGAGTGACACGCATTGCCGATCGGCAAATGTATTTCAGAAGATTTTAGTTTAATTCAATATTAAATCGGAAGCGTCCAACGTAACGCTTTTCTTTGTTAGCCTTTATTGAGCACTCCCAAATAAGGAATAAATTGTTTGAGACCCGTAAAGTGTTCGTTACAACCGAATTTCACGTTTGATGTAAGTACTTTGTCCTATTTACGGCTGTTTGTCCACTACTGATGATACAATTTGCTTCAAAATGTCTGTTAATCCAGTTATTAAAGCACAAAAGTATTTAATCTTGGTCAAAACTTTTAACAGCAACCGGACATGGTATACCACCATGTAAAGCAAGTTCTAGGATGCAAAATATCAAAAATTGCAACAACATGTATCTTAAAAAATATCAGAGTAGTCGGAATGCCCAAATGAGATAATATATAGAAAATTCAACACCTTTAAAATAAATTTTAAAATGTCTCAGTCAGAGACTTATTTTCATCGAAAAAAACGTGAAAATCTTTAAAAAAAAGGTATTTTTTACTTGGCTAGCTTAATTCCAGTGACCATTGTAAGCAATAAGTAAACCATAGAGGTATTGTATCAAACTTATACCACTCTACCTCGACCGATTAACGTATATCAATTTTTAAAACATATTATTAATATTCATGATTCAAAGATTCACTTTTTTTCTTTAAATTTCTCTTTGGCTCACTTATTGCTCACAATAATAACTACCTTTTCCCGGAAGGCCGATGCTGGAAACATTAAATTACCTTTTCTCAGACGTTTTTCTCCGACAGAGGCGTTTCAAATTTTAGTTTAACGGTTTTGCAATTCTCCAAATATTTATCTATTAGGGCGTTAGATTACTCTGATAGTTTTCGAGATAAATGCGAAAAACAAAACAGCAAATTGCATTACTTAAACCAGGGGTGGTTAATCCAAATCTTTGGAAATTAAATCATAACCCCGCAGGCCGCATGTAAGGTTATACACCTATCTTCATATTAGATTTAGATACACATACAAACACTTCTTTCAACTCATAACTATAAACTCATTATAAAACAGGTAATATTTGTGATATATTCACAAGAATATTGTCTTAAAATTAAAGTTAATTTTCTCTCACCGTTTCAACAGTTAATTTTTGAATATATGCTAACACAAATAATGTATTTTTTATATGTTGGTTTTCATTTTATCATCATGAACATAGGTTAGTCAGTCCTAAGGCTGGTTGGACATGCACCTCCACTCTTTCCTATTCCGAGCTAATCTTTGTATTTCCCGACCTATTTCGCCTATTTCTTATTGACTTTCATAGCGCCCTCTGTTCTCCTGCTCTTTCTAGTACCTCATCATTTCTAACCTTCTCTATTCAGGTATCTTCATCATTCACCAGTAACACCACATTTTAAGCGCTCCTAATTTTTTACCTTCCTCCGCGCCCACCGTCCACGTTTCGCACCCGTACAGCGCCGTTTTCCAAACATATACCTTTAACAATCATTTTCAAATTTCTAAATCAAGCAGAAAGATGACTTCTTTTTTGTTAAAGGGTGACACGACCCTGCGTTATCCTCTGCTTTGTATCTCTACTACTCCTTCCATCATGAAATATCAGACTTCCTAGATACCATTATAAAATAAATATATTTTGTAAAACTATAATTAAGTGAATCGCGAGGGCCAAAAAACCATTCAAGGCGGTCCGCAAATTGACCACTCCTGGTTTAAATACTGTTTAAAAAGCCACTCACAATATTTGTTAGAGCCTTTTTTATACTTATTGACACACTACATCAAAAAATCTATTTAGATGGTCTATATGTAAAGCAACAAACATTTGTATTTAATCTCATTTGTTAGTTATTTACTTATTCCTTTTATTAGGACAGAATACGGAAACAATCGCCAAAGTGCAAGACCACCAGCTTTTGCTGAGTGCATTTGGGCTTATTAGAGTAATTACTGCAATGTTAATTCCTTCTTATGTCTACCGTAATATCTAAATCTAAATCCATATCGAGCCCGCAAGACAATCAATACTGTTTTTTATTTTAGTTAGGATCACAAAATGGATAGAGTCATTGGGAAGATAAGAAAAGGTTGCATTTAAAACAATNTATATATTTTATTTCCCGACAGGGGGTACAAGTGAACCTCTTTGCACCTTGCTACGGGTGCCCTTGTCTGTTTTGTATTTAAATTTCCTAATGTCAGTAATTTCTTTTGAATTCTTTGAGGAGAATCCCCAATTATTTAGCTTATCAAAATGGCCGCCTATATAATAGTCAATCATTTATTACATCTAGCCAATTTATAACATCTAAACCTGCATACGTAAGTTAGTCACCCTGAAATTTAGGTTTGATTATACGTTAAAATATTCGACTGTCATTTTGTTCAATAAAATTACATTATTTATATCAAGTAATTTAAGATATGCGCAGCTTCGCTTAAGGGGTGATTGAATTTGTTGTTGTAATATGTGTAAGTATAAAACATTGTAATTATTTGGATAATTTACATGACTTATACGCAACTCGGGTGTCTATCGTTTAAACCCCTTCTTCTTTTGTAAATAATCGTAAGTCATCCGAAAATAATTCGAATTAATTTTTAAAAATAATGTTAAAATGAATGCAGATTCGAAGAAAATACAATAAAAATGCAGTATAATTTGCTGAAATAGTTATCATCCTATAACGTAAAGGAAAAAATACTCTAACAAAAATTCTTAATCTACCATCATCATATTTATTAATATAAATACCTCCGGTTTTAATATTTGCGCCTCCAGTGTCATATGTCACACCTTTTCCGACCAAAAACAGGGTCTCTGTGATCTTCGACGGATCCTGTGGTACATACTCTAAATATATAATACGTCCTTTATGTCTGTCTATATTGCTCGCTGCCCTGTTAACAGCTTCGAAAAGTGGATAATCTTTAGAAAAAACATCGACATCGCTGATTACATTGATTTTTATGTCTGTGTTTTTGAAAAGATCTTCCACATACTCCTGTATTCTCGGTGGGGTCATTCTTTCTGGATCTGCCCCTCCTATGTCCCTTGCGACGTATCGTCCAGATTCTAACACACTCGCCAGGTTTATAAGTTTTTCGGTTTTCTCGAAATCCTCGGTATATACTCCCAGAAAATCTAATTTTGGGTAACCATCCGGTCGGTACTCACGTACTTGAATATTCTAAAAATGAATTAATTAATTGCAACAAAACTGGAACTAATTGTAAGGGTATATTTCTCTAGTTTGCTTATTTAACTTAATATTTTCTCTTTTATATTTTCAAAAGTGCAATTCTGTTTTGTTTTTACTCTGAAAACAATTAAAATTTGCATATAGTCTTTAGATACAGAACTACATAACAATTAATTAAAAAATTAAAAAGAAGACACCCCTAATTACCACAAAAACTTTTTCAGCAGACACGTACGTGGGCATTATCAACGCGAGACTTATAGAACAAATTAAGTTAGTAAAGGTAATTTTATAGCTTAAAAAGTTTTGTGAAATGCTGTCCATCAAATTTTTTCTGTACTTGAATTTTCTACGTAACAATGACAGTGGGCAAGGTAGAGATTTTATTTTTACACGAAATTACATTTAGCATGCCGGCAAAGGTAACATTTTGACCCTCGGCGGTGATCTTCAAATCATTAGAAAACGTCAAAGAAACAACCTCCATCCGTCAAACCGTGATATTTCTAGGTGAAAAACGACTAGAGTGGCGCGCAGGTTGGTTGCGCTAAACTGCATCAGAGTAATACGAACGATATCGTTTACGGTTTTTTTTTTGTTTATTTTTGCGCCAGAATGCGGAAGTCGGTGCGACGCGATTGCAAAGTGCAAATTCATGTTCCGAAAGGTACGAAACGTCGTCTTTGTGCCCACTGACGACCAACCAATAATAATGCGATGCTAAAAGTGCAAATCATGGTCGTTTATTTCTCGAGCACGATAAAATCGAATTACGCTCGACAAAAAAACCAATTTTCCTGCCGTAAAATTTTGTAAAGACTAATTGGATTTGCAAAAGAGCTCTCACCATACTATATTGACATTCCTCTTTACCACTCGTACAAAATTTCATACTATTTTGTGCACTAGTTTTATATAAAACCAAGAATACTGCATACATATTGTTTGAAATAATAGAATTGTAATGTACCTATAGTTAGTCAAAGACAGATAATGTATAGGTGCGCGGAATCACTGGTCTTTCCTGGGTTTGACCAACAGTTTTCGGCAAACCCAAAATAAGTCCAGTTACAAACTAGGGCAAGCAAAACTTTGGGCCATAAGGGGAAGTCTTGGGGCAGCGTGACGAAATGGGCAATCAGGTGAGAATGTCTCAGGGTAAAGTGACGTTTGTAAAGATAAACCAGTGGCAAAAACACACAAATGGAAGACCTGCGTGACGAAACATGACATGGGGGCAAAGGGCTCAAAAAATTGCAAAAACAGCGTGACGTAATATATGAACAGCTCCTTTCTACAAACTAATTACATATTTACTTTTTTTAATAATGATTTCCTTTTTTATCCGTTCTTCCCCTGATTTTTTATCCGATGTTAAATCACTGCCAGACTAGAGGTTTAAAGTGTTTATGTGTTTTGCCCAAGTATCACCACGTAGTGTTTTAATTATTTAATTTATTTATTATTTTGATTATTAGAAATTTTTATAATGTTAGCGTATTTATGTTTTTATTTATATAACGAGTTAATTAATTTTGGTTGTCATTAAACATATACA